CCCCTCCTACGCTGACATTTTCTCCAGATTCAGGATTAAGTATTTAACCCCCTCTTTTGAGGCTTTCTGCTCCTTTAGCTTGCTTTGAACGCACTTTTCTAACACCACTGCTTCCCTCTCTCCCATGGAGCTCTTGTTTCTCCCTGGAAATGAAGGAACCACCAAACTGCCAGAGCAAGTTACGGCTGCCCAAGACAGGGACATTTTCTGATCTGCCTTTGCCAACACCATCACAGCTACTGGCAGCAGTCACATGTCAGAGCCCGGCAGCTTTTCTGCCCACCACAGCCCCAACCAGATTAAACAGGAGGCAGCGGAGAAGGCGCTCGGTGCCAAGGGCAGCACGGACCGTGTGCCAAGCAGAAGCCCTGGTTCTGCCTGCCACCCCTTTTCTAACCCCATAAGAAGAGATCCACCTCTGCACCGCAGAGCCTCGGAAGTCTGAGTCACTGCTTTGGGTAAGGGGCCAGGCTGTTACTCAGAGGGTGACAGCGGTGTCTAAGGGAGCTGTGATGCCAGGCAAGTGCCAGAAACCTGAGTCAGAGCATGACTGCTCTAAGTCAGGGCCGATGGCGACACAGGGCAGAGCTGGTGCTCTGACCAGCACCATTCACTGGACAAACATTCAGGCACACGCTTAAAGACAAAAAAATAAAAGCCTGAACTAACCTAGAAGTGCAGCCCTAGCAGCTCATTAATGCAGGATCTTTTACAGTCCTTCAGAGCAGTGGCTTATTACAAGTTAAACTCTTTAACTAGGCTGCCCTGTCTATTCAGAGCCACCAAGCCCAGTCTCATCACAAGAGTCTCATTCTAGTGCAAATCATTTGAATCCTTAATCTCAAGCATTTGCATTCCAGCGAGTCTCAAACAAACAGCCACACATGCTCCCCAGCAGCAGCCCGGAGGTCAGGCAGTGCGCAGGGTTTGTCCCCTCGGTTCCCTAGCGTTTCAACTGCTTCGGCTTCCACTTTGGGGCTGCAAAAGCAGCACAACCCGGCTGTTGTTACAGGGCATAAAGGAACAGGCTGTACCGAGGGAAGGGGGGGGGGAATGCAGCTGCGAGATCTAAGAGCAGGCTCAAGAGGATAAATGTTAACTCAAGAGTTAGGAAGTGTTTTGAAGGATGGATGCTCCTTTTGTCTGGCCAAAGTGATAGCTGGGGAGTTCTGTGGGATCAGAGCACCACGATAACTTCATCAAGTAATCTTACAAGTCAACCCAAGCAATTTACATTGCAGACCATGGAACCGCAGTTATGCCACTCTTACAGGCACAGTTAGTATCACTAATTAAAAAAAAAAATTGTCTTTAAATCTAAGAACATCAATCTGTTCATTTGAGGGAGAACAACACACACAAAATGTAACACAACCTAGTGCTAACTTATAGGGGATTCAAGCAGCCAGGATATGTCTAACAGAGTATTCACCAGCACCAGGAATCAGAGGGAAGGAGCAGGAGCTGTGCTGAAGTCCACACGCTGAGCAGCCAGCCAGTGTCCCTCCTCTCCATCATCACCTGGAAAGTCAAGTTGGCAGTTTCCAGCTCGCAGTGGAAGTGGGACAGTGTGACACCACAGGAAAACCATGGCATGTTCACATTAGGCTCCATTGGAGAGCAGCAAATGGCCTCCCCACCCCAACCATTCAAGCAGCTCAAGGCAATGGTAATGCCATGAACAGAGGCTTGGAGGGGAAGGGAAAAGCAGAAACACATAGGAAAAACCTTTTCCCTGTTGCTGGACTGGACACAGGCCTTTGCAAGACCTCAAAGTGCCAAAGCCTTGGGAGACAGCAACAGGAGAGGCAGGAAAGAGAGCAATCGTGTTGGCTAACAACAGCCTTAACTCCCCAGAGCAAATGAACCTCTGGTATCTGAAAAGTACCAAGTTCAGCCCCCATGTGCCTCTTGCGTAAGCTGTTTGGAAAACTCTGAACCACAGGAAAGTGCTCTCCAGCATGGGAGCTGGCAGCACTCGGGGCAGATGAGAGCTGGGCAGCAGCTCCCTTTCCCTGACTGTGCCCCAAGCACTGCAGGGCTGGCTATTCCCACCCCTGGGAACCTCCACATCGAGTGTGGACAGGGCTCTGGGCCACGGAGGGACCACGCAGCCCTGAACTGCCACCCCATGAACTGTGCCTGCAGTTTGACAAGGTACAAGGTGCTGGGGAGGTTATTTCTTCCTACATGTTACAGGCCTTTCATCCCAACAGACATCTCTAGGTTTGTCTACCAGAAGTCCTGGGCTCCTTGCCCTTCAGGGCTAAGGAACATTGCCTTAAACACCCTATACAAACATCCTGTTTCAAGAAGGCTGAAGCAAAGCAGGGTTTTGCTCTACATGTGAGCTTGCCAAGCCCAGGTAAAAAATAAAGTTAAAACGTGCAGATAGCAATGTCTTGATTTGATTGGGAGGGACAGATGAGAAACTGGGCAAAGAGCAGAAAGAACAGGCCTCGGGGATCAATGGCAGCAGGACAAGCCAAACCGGTTTTAACATTAATAATGCTGCACTACTTTCCAAACACAGCTATCATCAACAAGACACCAGCTTTGCCAATCAGGAGGCCTCCGAGCATGATTGCTTTAAACCAGCAAACAGAGCCCACTAACAGCACAAAGCCTCCCCCTTCCCCCTAGAGCAATCCTCTGCCAGCAGTTTCTGGGTTGGATTTGTGCTCATCTGTACTGCTGGGGACCCACAAAGGTGATGTGGTGTTGCACAGAGACTTTTTCTGCCTAGTTCAAGGCACAGAGCTGAAACAAAAGGTTTGCAGCCCACTAGCACTGCCACAGCCCTGCTGAGCTCAGGGCACTCGGTCCTTTTTCAGCCCAAACTGAGCAGAGCCCAAGCCTGCAGCAGAGGGAATACCCCTTGCTTTCCTCCCATGCTGCCAGGGGCACTTTTAGATGCTGAAAGCGCAGGGAGAGCTCAGCAATGCTACTCTGCTCGAGTAGGCAGACCTCAAGTCCTGTGTCAGCTCCACTGATCCCACGTCTTGGCTGCACTGGTGGCTTTCTGTCCATCCCCCCTAAAGCATCTTCTGCAGGAACAGAAGCACAGCAGAGGGGAGAGCCCCCTGCCCACACAGCCTTTGCCTTCCAAGGCACTCAGCCAGAGAGGGCCGGGACCACCTGGGGACAGGAGGCACCAGCTCCAGGCTCCCCCCGCCCCACGGGGAAGAGGGGGATGTTCTCACCCAAAGCTGCAGGGCTGTCGTAACACAACCCACCCACCCGCAGCTGGAGCACAAGCGTCACACTCCGGCACTTCAGTAATATTCCCCACCCTCTTACACATCCTGGGATTGCTTCACACGGAGAAATCCCATTTACACCAGAAAGCCACGCAAGGGGAAAGGAGCCAAGGCATTTCTGTTTGTACAGGCTTGGGGAAATATTCAAGCACCGAATCACTCTCAAAATCCACGCTCTTACATAAGCACAAGAAATACAATCCCGGTCTTGTTAAGAAACAGCTACCTGTCTTCATCCTGCCCGCACAGAAAAACCAAGAGCCACATGCTGTGCAGCCCTGCACGTTTTGACGGTGCTATTAAAAAAAAATAATATGGGAGGAGTGCCAGCAGAGCTCTCCCAAACCGTGTGTCATCCTCGTCTCCTCCCCGGCAGCCTGTAACCCAAACAATTTGTTTGGATAAGGCTTTGTAGTAGGCCAGTGTTACTTCTCAAGCACACACTCCATCTTAGGTAGCTTAAAAGATACAGACAAAATACTCCGTACAAGTTCTATATAAGGATTTACAGAGGACATCTGTGCAAAATTTGTTGTCTTTGCAGAAATCCGATGCTTGCAGACCAGTCCAGTCCCCAGGGACACCAAGTTGCATTTCATACCAAACATGGTCAGTGCAACGTCCAGATGCTGTCTGCCCCAAAGGTTTGCCCTACTAGTTTGGGCCAGTTCCCAAACGACCGATTCACGTGCTTAATAGCAGGGATAAAGACACCAGATTAGAGTAAAGTGGATTTGGGCTGGTTGGTTTTAGCAGAGTAGCTGGCAATTACTATAGATGCTCTCTATGGCAGTTTCCTACTCTACAGTCAGCAACCCCCCAGCCCTGTGCCCCTATTACAAAGCAGCACAGTCTTACCAGTTCAGATCTGCCCACCCAGCCTTCAGTCCAAAGCAAACCAATGTGGATGATGAAATCAAGTTTTAAGGATCCGCGATCTCCTGTAGTTACCTTAATCTCAGCAGCTCTTTTCAGGCCAGCAGAGGAATTTGCCCTGATTGCACTATCATCAGCAAGACGGACACACACAAAAACAAACAAACAGCGGGGAAGCCAGAATCGCAAAATCTCTGCTTCGCCACGAAGACCCCACACGTGCCGACTTCTTAAACCCTCCATGGCAATGCATCATTTTTCATTCGCATGCCAAAGTGAGGAAGGTTTGACACACACTGAAAAACCCCAGGCACCGGCACAACCCAACTCAGGTAAGCCTGGAAAGCCTATCCAGGTGCTGTAACACACCACACACCTCCAAGCCGCCACATATTCACAATAAAAGAGGGATTAAAGCACTTTAGTCCACGACCAGCAGTTGGAGATCAAAGCTGCAATGGAGCGCGGTTCGTCCCCACCAGGTGCCCCAGTAACGCTCCCAACCCCACCAGCCCTGAGCACCGGGGAGCACACGGGGAGAACGGGATACGTGAGGAGCGGCACAGCCGCGGGGGCAGCGGGACACGGGCCGGGACACGGGCCGGGACACGGGACGGGATGGCGCTGCTCTGGCATCGGACGGAAGAGGCAGCGTGCGAGCCAGGAGAACCGGGGGAGGAACGGGAACTGCCCTATGGCCGGCCACCCATCCTGCCCCCCTCCCCTCCCGCGGGACAGACCCCCGGGGGGACAGCGGTGACACCGCTCTCAGGCTGTGGCGAGCGGGGCCTGAGACCCGCGGGTCCCCCAGTCTCCCCGGCGGGGCAGAGCCCTCCCTTCCCCGCCGTCTCCCTCGGGACTCACCGACTCGGCGGCCGCGGCTCGCAGGAGGAGGCCGAGCAGCAGCAGCAGCAGCGCGGCGCGGAGCGGGACACGGGGCAGCGGCATGGTCGGGCCGGGCTGTACCGGGACAGAATGAGGGCTGCACCGACAGATCCGAACGGAGCGGGCTCTGACCGCCTCCCGCCGCCGCCGCAGCCCTTATAGGGCCGGCACAGCCCCCGCGGGGGCGGAGCGGAGCTGCCCCCGCCCCGCCGGGAATGCCCGCGGCCCCCGCCCCGCACCGGCACCGCACCCGCGGGCACGGGGACACCGCACCGGCACCGGGGATCACACGGGGAC